TAATTCAGAGTTTATTAATCAGAATCATACCGCTTTTACATCATTCTGTGAAAATTCCTGGTGTAGCATTGCAATCGAAGTACTGTACAAGTGCGCATTATGAAGCAACAGCTCCATCGCTGGCATTCATTTAATGCTTGAATCGCAAAAAAACCCTTCTTTTAACGCATGCTCAGACGACGAATTCGTCCATCATTGGCACCCCTCCAAACCAAAACGGCCAGCAAATTGACAATTTTCGCCATGTCTGCTATCTGAAGCACGAGCAGTATTGCAGCAGCATGACTGCATTTTTGAAAACGTAATTCGAATAGTTTTCTTAAACCGTTCCCTGAATTTAAAACATGAAGAGGGAATGCAATATCTTTCCAGAATATGCAGTTTTACATGTTGAACGAACAATGGAGCGAAACAATAACACTCTTAGCCAACAGATTTCTGCTGAGACACTATTAACAGAGAGCGAAACTAAGAGTATGTGGGAATATAGGTTTATTACACCAGTTTGGATTCACCATTCTATGAAAACCCCAGCCTAATTCCCAAGTATTTGTGACCATTCGCCTAGCTCGAGAGGACAAAGGGAGACTACACTCATCTAATTCGAAACCGCAATCTTTACGCTGTACTGACTAGACTACCATGACTTTAATATTTGTTATTATACAATGTGATAGCCTAGTTTTTAATTTTCCTTTGTTAATAAACGATGTTCTGTCCTGACCGTTACACGCTATACATGAGCACGCTCCTACAAATTGATAAATTTTTAAAACAGTAATTTGTAACCTTTTTAACAACGCAATAGCATTGACTGAAAGAACGTCCACGTTTCACGTATCCTCTTAATAAGTCAATCATGTGAAAAGCAGTTACGAAATGAATCGAATATATACGCATTACACTTTCTTATAATTACATTCCTGACACTAAATGAATCCATGTAGACCTCATGCGTTGTCAGTGGTTTAGTGAACTGACTCTGAACCAAATGCATATTGGCTATGATTTACTGTATTCGCTGCACTTTCAGTGCTTCAACGCTTTTCCTATCAGACATTGAACAAACACTGCCTCACAGAAGGAAAAATTACTCTCAGAACGCAGACATAAATCCACCTTGTTCATTTGTTGCATGATGGCAGGTGATTTTTTCCCATCTTTTAGTTCCGAAACGTAGAGCTTAGTCTTGAGTAAACTCAACCACCATGTCCAACAACGCTAACCTCTTTTCTTAATCACTACATTTTATTAGAGAAACATGTGCCTGGAGAACAGCAGGTAATAATGAAGCTTAACTCAATAGAGCTGTACGTTGTTCATTAGCCGTTCTTCGTTCCAACAAGTTTTCCCAAAACAGATAACTGATGGAGGCGTTACAGAAAAGGGCAGTTCTTTTGATGTAAAAATATTGGTCAAGTTATTTAAAGAAATAGCACATTAACGTTTGGACCTTTAAGGCTTGTCTCACCTATGAAGTACTGTTTAGGCTTTGAAAAAATACCTACTACAGAGCAAACTCGAAACAAAGCAACTATGTCAGAAACTACAAAGATGTCAAGAAGAAATAAGTGAGCGAAATCATAAACTGGATTACATAATTGTAATAGCAACAATTTCTATAACGAAAATAAGGTGGTTATGCTACGAAAAGATGTGATCAGTATTACATTGAATCGGTCATGATCAAACCCAAATAGGCAAGAAACTACGAAGGAAAAGACCAAAAGGTTACTGATGTCTAAGGGTACGATTTGTACAGTTAATGCGGCTGAATGAAGTTAAAGCTTGGTGAAAGAACCTCGGAAGGGCATTCGGCCAACACTGGAGTGATGAAACACGTTGATCAATATGGTGACCATGTTTCACAGTATGACTGGGGAAACATACTTTTTCAGAAACTGGGACGATTGAATGCTTGCAAAAGCCATCAGTTTATAATTCTGTATTATCTTTGTCATTGTAATCTAAAGCTAGCAATGACTGATCTGCAAAATATGAGTAGAGTAATGAACGTTCGAGATAATTTTTCAGGTTTACATAAACACGAACTTAAATCAAGTTTAATACATATATGAGTATCTTTTATAAAAAAAATCATTTTTTCCAAATATAATAGAAGCTGGAAACCGAGGGAATGTGAAGAAAAACCACTTAAATTTATTGATGATATGTCTAGCGAAGTTCGCTCCAGAAAATCCTTGAAGGCGCAACATGACTCACTTGTTTTTCAGAGCTACAAAAAAAAGCGTAAGTAAGCCGCCATAGTGCAGCGTAATCAATAGTTAATATTACCGTCAACAACTTCGCCGACTCGTCCTGCTACTTTGCCGATTCCTTTGTCGATCGTCGACTGATGATCCATTATAAACGGGCGAAGAAACTTTTCATAGACATGCTGCGCCCCACAAGTGTAAGGGAGGTAAAGGTACAGCATCAAGGAACACTATAAAAACAAAACAATAAGCGGTGTTGAGGATGATTCAATTTACGTATACTGAATCAGGATCCATGATCCACGGAAAGTCTGATAAGGACTGATATAGCAAACCTTTCAAATCTTCACTTCAAACAAGTTTATGGAAACAAGGTAGAGGAATATGCCGGGTTAGCACGCCGTTGGGTAAGCTATGTGACTGACCCTGTGCAACAAGTCCTCAAGCGCGTCTGCTCCATGGACGGAGGCAGATCTACCCTATGAAAGCCCAACGATTTGCAGCCTCTGACGATGGTTCAGCAGCACAGTGAAAAGATAATGCTTACTCAAAAACGAGGCATAAAACATATTGAACTTGCTTGTTGAGCGGTAATAATTTTGATAAATGCTAGACTGCGAAGTTCATCATGGCAACAGTTTTATCGTACTTGTTCGCATCATACTTTAAGACGTACTTCTACTAGATTAACAATAAGTAGAGCTATGGAGAGTATGTTTAATGAAGTACTAAGACTGCGAATAGCATTACCAAAATATGGATTATTTTCGGCACAACGATCTTGCATATTGTCGCTCCAACATACGGTTTACACGACCAGTTCAAGGCAAAATCTACCCTGAACGTATACTCAGAAAAACAGTGATCGATAAAACAGTACACTGCGTGTGCGACCCAGTGGCTTTCAAACTTGCCCTGATCGAAAAGATCGGATTCGGTTGATTTAGTGCTTCTGAAGTTATCGCTGGTTTTCTGACTCTGTTGCGTGTATGTTTCTGTTTTATGTTTATTTCTTGTTATTTAATATTTGCTTAAATAACTATATCTTTTCTGAAAAGATTTTAGTAAATAAACTACTGGTGATATGAAGGGTAAGTGTTGAATTTAGCATTATAAACGCAATTAGTGGTATATAAAATTAACAAAAAGCCAAGTAAACTGATCGTGCGAAAGTGTGTTAAATGAACTTCTAAAAAGCACATTTCTAACACTAGAACACCGCCTAGCGAGAAAGGTCTACTAAGTAACGAACGACACAACCACCGCTTTTAAGATCGCTGTCAATAGCATGCACCAGACTGAAAGTAAAGCCCCAAAGAAAATCTGCGAGAATGGCTCGACTCGGAAATCCTGCTCGCCCTATCGTTCCATAAGCTCTCTTCAGTACGTTGCGATCTGACTTTCCACGAATGAATTGCAGAATTTTAAATAAATTCATGTAGACAAATTAACAAAAAACCAAATAACATATGACACAACACTCACGCATAACTTAATAGCTTACCTTTGCTAGCCAATATACTGGAAACCAGCCGAGAATCAAGTCGGAAGCGAATTCGATAACGTTAAACAGCGCAAACACTACCCAGTAGGTAAGCCAGAATATATCATCTTTCTTGTCCGAAGATTCGATTGCTTTAATCCTATAAAAATTGATAAAAATCAATAATTTAGCAATTAGTCTCACACAGATATCAATAAACCATTACAATAAATAAGTGACGAATAAGCAAACAAGACTAAGATTCGTTTTATTTCGGCAGCTTCAAGATATTTTAGAAAATGCGCAGGGGAGATTACCAAAATCCTTCTTGGCCACAATCGTTGGCCGGAGAACATTAATACGAACTGTTTATGATTAATCTTGCTTGATGGCCCAGTGTCAGAACTCATTTAAAAGAACCTGTACCTTCCATCATAAATGGATCTTCGCTGTAACTCACGGAAGCATATAGCATACCGTAAAGGAAAAACATTAAGTAAAAAAATGTAAAGAAAATTTAGCATAAATGGAAAGTACAGAGAAAAGTACACAACACTTAAATACAAGCCAAATCAGTTATCAACCATAAATATGGGATTAAAGACCGCCACAAAGTCAAGATTATACAACACCATAACAGTTTTCTGATAGGCATCAGCAATGATTAAAGCTTGAGAAACAGAGTAACCAATTTCCCAAACCTGTCTCAGAGCTGGATTCCATTTTACTTTCGAGACATTTATCTGCCTAATTTTCTTTTCCTTATTTGAAATCGTAATCTGTTGTTACGATCACATTTGACAAAACGGCTTCTGATCGGCTGTCTTAAAAATATTTATAAAATATTTTACATCTACGACAATTTACACAATATGTTGACAAACATGCAAATGAGAGTTCCAAATCGATATCAGATATACACTTCTGAAAGCCATTACTGGGTTACAACAGACTGATACTTACGCACAGTAGGCAGGTCCAAAATAACTGAAAGTTTTCGTTATCATGGAACTTTTGAAAGCCTACAAACAATTCGACTGTTCGATTATTAGCAACAAGCACCTAGGCTGGATTTTTCCCGCGAAGACAGCTATTGGTGAGCCATGAAAGCAGAGGATGCTAAGAATACCCAGATTACGGATCGGAGCTGCTATAGTATACTAACGCTGGCAACATAAAACTGCAGTTCAGCTTTAGGCGAAGTAAGGCTTCAAGAGCAGGAGCAAAAGACTTAAAAAACTCAAAAAGTTGGACCTTGTAGGACTTAGCGAATTCAAAAGAAAGCAGAAGAGGCTGTTATCTCATGTTCTATAAAGGCACGAGGTTCGAGAATTAAAAGTGCATGAAGACTAGGGTGCACCAGCCACAGAAAATTAAAAACCAATATAGTACAAACGAGGTACTTTAGAGAGCTGCGCAAGCTGATTCTGAGAGTTTCAAAAAACAAACACCCGAATGATCGTTCCGCTATAGTTGTCGACATCAAATCAACATGATGAAAAGATTGAAGGTTTTTTTAAGAAGAAATAGAAGTAGATGAACACGGAAATAGTAGTAAACTTGAAAATCACTGACTGCTTCCCACCATCTATAACAAGTAGATTACAACGAATGAACTAAAAACTTTAGGGAATATTGCAACCGCTCTGAGCAAGAAAGTTCGAACCACAAACAGGATACAGAGCAGAAAGCGCAAGAAATGATGTTCACCGAAAACAAGTAAGAAAAGAAGTCACTCACGACGCGTAAGCCGGATAGACGAAGCCAATGAAGTTGCACAAAAGCTCCGCAAAGTAGCCAAAAATCAAATAGACGGCGAAACCGAAAAGAGAACCTGAAACATGATGATCAGTTAACTGAAGAGTTGAAGACACAAAACTGGAAGAATATCAGGTGCGAAAAATTTTGATTTTAAGTTATATAAAGTGTCTTCCTCCCTTTATGAAGGCAATGTACCAAGGTATAAGAATAGCAAATAACGTTTCATTAATTACTCGTTCTTGGCAAAGTGACGAATAATTAGCAGTGGCTTGGGTGAGTACACTTTATCAATACGTTTGTTGTCATTTTGAATATAATTATTTATTTAATATAACATTATGGAATGGATTTTGCATGAAAACAAACCACTGCCAATATTTCGATGGTGTATCTTACACTATGAGGGTAAAATTTGGTGCCACGCCGGTTTATTACACAGAGTGAACAACATCAACTGCAGCGATCAAAGCCTTTTTCGATAAACAACATCATAATTGCCACGCTGTTCAATCCGAGCATCACTCAGTCAAACTGGTTGGCAGCTTATCGACCGTCCATAAACAATAACAGTATTTTTGTTTTTTTATTAATACCTGTAT